CCGTGAATATAATTGTGAGACACTTGTCTCGTCTCATTAATACCAAGAAGTGTACAGGAGCGAGTAACACCCACGTCTTTCTCGGAAATAAAGTTCAACAGATCACATAAGTTAAAATGAACTATATAAATATAATACGATGCCTTTTATTTGGTGGAAGTTTACAATAGTCATCTGCTCGGCGTTCTCTGCATATTCGCCATAATCTCCACGCTTAGCAACCGAGTTAGACATCATACTTATGTAGGTTAAACTGGCTATGAGGTACCTACAATATTACATTTTTTCGAGTCCAGATTCCGTGTTCGTGTTTTTTACAAATAGGAACCTACCTACCAACAGGTAGGTAAGTTCCTATTGGCTGAGAATTTCTGACGAATTTCTTAATGGAATGTCTATGTGTCAAATATCAATGCTTAGTGCTCACGTACCTGTAGATACCTACCTATGCTTAGTTATAACAGAGAATTCCAAAAACTGTTCATAATATTAATTTGAACCTGATATCTCTTTGATGAGTAAAAACTGCGATAATGGATGATGTCGATAAATAGATAAAACCCTAAAGATTGATTGCTAGTTTTGCTAACATAGTATGTACCTACGTAGTGACATTTTTTACCCGAAATATGTAACAGGCAATACCGTCTTTACCTTCGGGACCGGAGCCCCAGGGCTCCCATCCCCAGGAGACCCCGAAGGACCGAAAATTTTTACAACGGACACACACCCGATACACGTTGCGCGACACCCGGCTGCCGCGCAACTTGTAGCGGATTCGATTGCCGCACGGAGCAAATCTTTGTGTGCTTCACATATTGTTGTTTCGGGTCTGGGTGTCATGTGTATTTTTTTAATGGGACAAGCCCGCCACAACCTCCCAAAACCGCTGCAACTTCTGTAAGCCAGGATCTATAGTAGATACAACCATGAAAACACCGGAACACTGAAGTCCGGCGCGTCCCAGGGACATGAACAACTGTCCTGGTTCCCCCAACGAAGTGAATCAGAAGATATTATAAGAGAAGAAAAAAAACGATAGTTTCCACTTCCCTCGGTGAATTACTGCAGGAGACAGAGTGAATTAAGCCTAAAGGCACAAAGAAAAGAGACTGTACAACTGGGCGAAGCCCAGTCGCCAAGCACCATGGAAATTTGACTATACTTGCTGTTATACTTGCTTCAAGTAATAGGTATGGCAAAAGCGCCTAAACGCACGGAAATATGTTCTAGATTCCACAAGGTCCGTATAATAAGCTGCACCTGACAAAACAATTAAATTATTTAACATAGTGTTACATTCATACTGCCAGAGATCACACTCCCAGAGTATGTGATGGGCGGACTGCTCGTATTGCAGCTTCGCTGTCGAACATTAGCACCATGGTGAATCAACAAGTTTAAATGAGAACAATTTGCTTTTAAAGTTGCCGCGGCCAGTCAGAAATGTCATGTGTTTGTGAACTTGTATGTTTGTAAATGCACCCACGATACAAGAGAAAATCCTAGTGTGGGGCAACGTTAAAAAAGCATTCCACAAGTACCCCGAAATACTGTGTGCCCGAGGGCCCCAGTATGGTCTAAGATGGCCCTGTTAATAGGTACTTGATTCGCAACTATTGTAGGTACTTAGGTTTATTATGAAGATAAATAAAACGAAGGTCAGGCTGAGGTAACCGATATCCATGGTCATGATCTTGAGTAGTGTGCAAAGCTATAGGTATTTAAAAAAAATATCTACATAGATGTACCCTTGGTCGTAGACAGTAAATTAATTAATATTTGAATTTTACAGAAAATTCTTCTTTTGCGCCAAGAACTCAATGGTATCTAATATGAATGTAAAATCAAAGTTTCCTGCAGAAACGAATACCAGAAAACCTAGAGTCAATAACCACTGGCACTAACCACGTTAGTTACTCTTCAAGTCCAGCGTACCTACCTACTAATATTATCCCGATAATAATCAATAGCCCGAAATTTATATTTAATCACATAAAGTAACGACTTTCGCGTCAACGATAAACGACTATAATAACGTGGCCGCACATTAAGAGTGAGTGATAAGCAGATAATAATTGATGAGGGCAAAGATCGATACCTGTTGCTATTACCTATTATTACCCGATGGTATTATGTATGCAAAATTAATGAAATTGTTCGTTATTACATGTTTGTCCACGGACGATTAGAAAGAGCCGTGGGATGTAACAGCTGACGATAGGGTTCCTTATACGCCGTTACTGAAACAATGCGTAGTCCAGGTTACGTTATAAAGGGTTCTAATACGTTGAGGCCTTTTTATTTTCCACGTTATAGATACACCTAGTGTGAAATGAAGATAGAAAAACCTAATCAAGTATTAAAGCGAAAACTCATTGATGTATAATGCATCAGCAAACAAATTGATGACCTACAGCAGCTATTTAAATATTAGAATCCGTGGAATCGATTAATTAGTGATATCGATTCTAGAAGGTGAACAAGGGTATGTATTAATAAAGTAGTACTATAATACCTAAATGAACATTTTTTGTACATCATTTATCTCATTCAAGAAAACGGCATAAAAATGAAGTTGTTTTTAGGTAATCGCATTCAGACGGACAGACACTGTAAAGTTTAAGCTTATCTGGTTACATGATTGATAATTTAAAAAACTAGTAATCCTACAACAAAACCTAATTCTTAGTTTACTACGAGTCTACTGTACTGGATCAATAAGGCCATTACTTTATAATGAGCCGAAAATTTTCTATTTGGAAAACGATAATATAGTATTGATCTGTATTGTGGCGTATTAAGGTCTAGATGAACTTTTATTCCTAAAGGTTAACTGAACCACACTGCAGAATCGGGGAATGGTATTTCGAGACTCTCGCGTAGACGAAAACCACAAACTGTTCACCAATTCCCACGATTTCGGTATCAATGCTTAAACTACCAACTGCCAGTATATTAGAGATCGATCCTATATAAATTCTTGTATTAATACGAGGGTTCAGTTTCCAATAATCTCGAAATGGAATTTAACTATAAAACAAAATCGTTCGTCCGTGGATTGGTTAAGTGAGTGGGTGTAGGCGCTTCGTATTTGGAGGATTTTGGTGTAGGTTTTTGAGAACGTTCAGATTTAATTCAATTTCTTAAGAGAAGTCGTGAATGGCTCATTGTCGAATATGATATTTGATGGCCCACCTTTCTATTTCCCAAGTAAGTCCATGTCTTCATGTTGTAAAGTTGTAAACACGACTGGCTATCTAACAAGCGTTGCGCCGTTGCGTGATTTAAATTAGATTCACAATAACTATAAACTCAGCTGTATTGACTTGTCCCAGTTTTCTGACTTCCTACCTCGTACAAACCACAACAAATAACTAACCCATAAGTTTAACCCAACCCAAACAATTTGAACTAGTTTATAAGATTATCTAAGACTCAATATATTTCATGACCTACTATGAATATTTCGACACCTTGGAAATATTTTTATACGTGCTCATAATCGTGTATTTGCTCTTGTATAGTCGGCCTTAACTCATATAATATATTATGTTATCCACAAATCTTTCACCGTTCACATTCAGAGCCGAAGCTTTAATACACAAAGGTGAGTATTAATTTAACTTTACGAGGTTTGGTATGTCAATGTTTCTAGTTATTAGTTAGGAAGGTGTGAACATGCATTAGGCACTGACATGGTGATGGGACGTGCTATTATTTCTGTTATCAAGTTTCGCACAAGAAAATTTTATAGGGACTGAAATACATAATGGTATTAATGGTAATAAGTATAACCTTTACCTACCTATTTATAAAATATGTATAAACAGATACCGAACATCCAACACATGGATTCCTTTTTCTTGACCTAAAGTTCAGAAACCTAAAAAGCATTCCTACCTAAACAATAAATAATTCATCTTACGGTCCAAAAATAAATGCAAACTTTGTTTCTCTGAAGTTAGTTAGACCTGCCTTGTTGTTGAGCCTCAGGCGAAAAAGAACTTCCATTCATTAATTATCGTCCAAATCAAGTAAGCTAAATAGCTAGATGGATTGTTTATGAAATTCATGATACTTATGATGATGATAATGAATTAAGCCCTTCAGCTCTCGCTATCTTTTTATAGCATAAACTACTGATTGAAGTATGGCCAACATAATCCAGTAACCAGTTTTATAGTAGGTATAATTGTTGTACCTTTTTAGCGATAAGCAGTGGACGGAAAGCTAATTGATTCTCCAGCTCGTCCAAGAGTGTGGTGCTGTATAGTAAGTAAACTTAGAGGTTAATATATGGAATGACTAACTTTATATTATAACAGAAAAAAACTCAAAAACAAAACTCAAACAGTAAACTACTGAATTTTACTTAAGTAGGTACTTATAACTACTCAGTTATAAGTAACTGAATAGTTACGTTCGAGTTCCCGGTTCAATACTTGGGTTAATTGTGCCCGGTGTATGACAATAAACCCCTATTAGGGGAAAATCTTAACGTACATTGGGTAAAAGTGAGTTTATTTACTATTACCTATGAACTTAACTATCCACCTCTTCGAGTGGAAGTTTACCGTCAAATTTCATTGGGAAACTTCGGGAGGATTCAATAGTAACAAAAACTCTCTCTGTTAATCTGGCTCTTGAAGAGCCATATCTCCTAAAGAAATTGAATACGCATGCACAGCTACTTGCGCTGTTGTTAAATTATTTCTTGTTAACTTATGATCTTGTAATCTTGTATACGAATTTAATTAAACGTGTAACAGATAGAAAATAAGACAGTGCAGGTCCATTTCCTTATGTTAGATACCTACTCTAATCTGACACTCTAAGGACAAGTCTTTATAAATGCACAGCACCAAGTTTAAATGTCGAAAAGAAAAAAATACAAATCCTGGCCAGTATCACAGAGTTCACGCAGCAGCCCTTTGCGAGAGCACAAGAGGGAGGCATCGACAACAAAAGTCATTCCAGTGTAGGTCGCGCGCGATCACACCCGCATTCACCGCCGCAGTCACACGATACACAAAACATTCGGAAACGATTATATTTCTATCAACACGTCTCGGAAATTCTCATCCAATAACCAAGAAACTGTATTCGTTCATATTTATTTTATTAAATCATCAAAGTGTATTTATAAACTTGTGTTCAAGTGTTTTCAATATTTTGAGCGGAATATGCATCATCAGTCACTTTTATTTTGAATCGTAAGTACTTTAATAATCTTTGAATCTGTAAGCAATGAAATAGATGAAAAATAAAATATATTTTCCTTTTACTTAACTTCTTAGAGTTTTGAGGAGAGTTAAATAATTTTCGCTAATTGGCGTCTCCAAAACATTTGAGAAATCTGTACCTAATACAAAACAAACGCCTTGATGTCGACTCAGAGAATTTCTACCTCAATTTCATTATAAAGTGGTAAACCTCTTTGTTTTTGGATATATCCACGTAAATCTACAGCAATAATTAACTGGCTTTGAACTCCACAGAAATAATTAACGTATGTACATAGGTACATAGATAGCACACAGATGTTAATAAAGTAATTAAATATGTGTCGTATAAGTAGGATTTTGAAATTATGTTTGACTTGAAAGTTTTGCCTGGAGACTGGTCAATGCTTCAGTTCAAGTACAAAATTAAGCATCGCGCTTTGTTCTTCTTTGGACTTGGTACTCTTTCATCACCTAGGAAGATAAATAGGATTAGGAGGTAATAGGTACCTACTAACTTCTTTAACAAACCAAAAGGTATGCGTTCCTTATTGGCCTATTAGTGTGATCATTAGGTCTAGTACATAATATATCACGGTTGAATACCCGTAGTTTATTAGTCACTAAGATACCTTAGTACCTAATCATTAGATTACCCATTGGGTCCTAATGGGTTCAATTCTTGTATGAGACAATATCAAATTACATCACAAAAATGTAATCTACCTTTGCTCCTATTTGGTCTTAAAAAACTGGTGAAAATCTACCTAGGTAAATAATTATTATTCAGCCTTCCTACGCATCAAGAATCTTGATATAAAAATAAATTGTAATATAATCATAAGATTTATGAAATAACTAGGTAAGATCCTTTTCATCCGCTTACTTATATTTTAATTAAAATTAAAAATAATCTTACGGATTGGAGATTGGTTTTCGACGTCGTCGGTCGGCTCCATTTTCCACGTAGCTTAGATATTGGCGGGTATAATTTAGTTTATTGTTGTCAATATTTCTGAAAATGACCCAATTTATAATCTCGAGCCTTCATTCATCTTTAGCTTAAAATTAATACAGGTACTTTAGAAGATTCCTTTTTGAACATTATTTTTTGGTTCACCTCGTAAAATATCACTTAATAAATCGTTAAATAACACAGTAAAATAATGTTTTCATACAAACTTTCGTAAAACCTATTCCTTTAGAATTTATAAAATAAATCCAGGAACAACACCTGGAAATTATAAACAGGCCGCGCCAACTTATAAAATTATGTTAATTTTTACTTCCCACACAAACGGACAGAACCCACCGAAGAAAAGTAGAAGAAAAACTAGGTTAAGAATATTTGAGATTTTTCCTCAACACAATTTTAAATAAAAGCAAATAAGGTGCCCCTTCCTTTGAAGTGGAGGGACTATTGAAGTTTCTTAGACTATATATATTTTTTTAAAAATATTAAGGTATAGACCCTACAATGTTAATTGATTCAAATGCTACAGCAAGGTCGCACAATTAAAGGTTCGGAATTGTTGGAATCAACTGCCTTTAACTTATAATTTACTAACTCAAACTAATTAAATTATGCTGGTTGAAGTAGTAACTAAGCGAAGCGACAAATTATATAAGTAAGCGTATTCTTGTTTCTTCATTGTAGCTGAGTCCCACTTTTTAAGACGAGCTTTGTAAGAATAGCTAGCTAGCTCTTTAGTTAAACAAAAAGAGGCGAGAATGTGCAGACAGAAAAGGAAAACGAGAAAAACATTTCTACGTAAGACTAGAAAATTAGATAACTTAAACTGGGAGGGTAGGTAAAAACTAACAGGGCTAAAAGCATGTCTAAGCAAGCATTGTCTGGTACTAATAGACATTTTTCATTACCATGCTGAATTCTCTCCTGACATCAGCACCGGTATGTGATTTGTTTGCGATGACATGGATCATGGATTGATGTGTGCCGTGGATGTTTAACATTTTGTGAGAGAATGAATAATATGTAATTATAATGTTGATGTTTTTTAGGTCAACATAACATCACGCCTTTTATCCCCGGGTAGGCAGAAGTGCACATTACGGCACTTAACATAATGCCACTGTACCATGTAACACCCATTTTTCACTATTTTATGTTATGAGTCCTATGTAATAGGGTTTTTTTAGGTTAAAATTATTATAATTACGAATTTTGTTATTTAATTGTGTATTTTTTATTTTTTCAAGTACCTAATTAATAGTAGTCATATATGATTACCTGGACATCTATACAATGATTGGCCGCAAAAAGCTTTATAGAGAGTAGTAGAAGAATGGCAAAAGCGCCTCCGCCTTGCAGTGGGACGATCATGGCTGAAAATAAATAAATAAAAATATAATTATGATTAACAGTATAAACTTAATGGTAAATTTTCTGAATAAATAACTACATAGCATAAACCAAAGTCGCTATCCGCCGTCTGTCTGTCCCTATGTATGCTTAAATCTTTAAAACTACGCAACGGATTTTGATGCGATTTGTTTTAATGGATAGAGTGATTCTTAAGGAAGATTTATATGTATAAAACATGCATATTACACCCTTACGAAACCGGGGCGGGTCGCTAGTAAATAAATAAATTACTTAACACTTACTCTTATATTTTCTACCTCCAGAGATGATATCTTCCTATTTGTCTAGAAGTATATAAGTATGTAGAGACAAAAAGCACCCGTTTGAAATTCAGTATTCCTCAAGAAGCTAAACTATGCTTTATTTGTTAGACGATCGGATTTCTAACTCTCCGAAATGACTGTCATAGATTTCAGAATGACAACCGGGACTAGTCGGCGTAAACTGTGATTCACTGCTTGTCGGAACGGAAAGACTGCAGTCTTATTAGCGGTAATTGCTTTACTGAAAATATCAGTTGTATTTAAAGGCTCGAAAACTGACTTGTACCGTAATTATATATGAGAGTATTTCAAATTCAAATTCATATGTACCTATATCTTTATTGCTGAACAATTAGTTATTTTTTTAGACTTTCTCGACAAGTTTTTACTGACGTATAAAGGCTATAGACAACTTAACAAGTCTGTAACATTTTTATTACAAATTGGTTTTAAAATACATTAACAATCGAGCGGAACGAGGTGTCGTCGTAGTGCTTAATTGACGCGAATAAAAAGCTATTAATCTACTAACGTTCCAATAAATATAGCCTACAAAAATGACTTTGTTGATAAATAATAATTATTGTTTATTAATTGATTTTAATTAAAATTCATCAAGTGAAGTGACATTTATTTTAACGAGGTGTAACTGTTGGTAGGTATAGAACGAAGTGCGTGAGGTTGCTATTTGGCGCATTTTTTTTTTTTTTTTTTTAAGGGGGGAATTTAAAAATAAGGAAAAGGAAACATTAGATCGAAGTCCACGTAAACTCGTACTGGCCTTACCATTGATTCTTATTTTTGTTATTTAAATATAGTAATATTCGTGCAATACGGCCTTTATATTCATAACTGTTCAGTAACTATCACGCATATTCATTAAAGGTATACAAAGTGGACCCTCTATCTGTGTTCATAGAATTTAAAATCCATTCCACGATTTCTATATATTCTTTGTTGTAGTAAATTCATTCATCACGATTTAGTCCCAGGCGATAGACGCAGACGTCAGAGAGACCTGTTTCATATCTATGTATGTAATGTAAGTGACGCATGACGTAGAAAACTGATCTGAACTTTCCGATACATTTTTACTGTAGTCTTTATATCAATCCATCTCGCTTTTCACATGGGGTTTAAATGGATTTACATTAACGCTTGTGTATCACATAAACATAATTCTTAATTAATTAGATGTTTAGAAGAAAGATATTTTTAAACAAAAAATCCGATAGAGGAATGATACCTCACCCGACCTTGGATCTAAAATTAGATTCATCACTGTTTCCGACAAAAACGTCTGATCTATGTTTCCCCAATCTTTCGGGAGCTATTTGTTAATTAAATAGTTTGTCCATGTTTCGTTGCTGTAGTCAATTATAAACGCCCACGTGTTTACATAGGTTTATTTGGAAAGTTAATGTTATTATAAAATGTGTCTTTAGTAGATGTAATTATGTATTATTAATTGTTGGATTACAGAAAAACCATTTGCTGAATGAAAAAGCCACCGTATGAGTAAACATTACATAAATCGTAGTTTCATATGTAGAGTAATAAACAGTAAAAGCTTAAGTAATTTATTTCCACTTGACAGCTCTATATAAATGCCTAAGCTAAGACATTCTTTATGGCCCTGTAACTCCTAGCGGGTGTACGACATTTGTTTTCATCCGAACTCCTGAAACACAGTCACTTGTCTCTATTATACCCAAAGATATACTTACAAAATGAAACCTGTTAACCGAGAAGGTTTTATAGGTCGTTTTATTAATTAACTACAAGGATATTGGAGAAAATATTTTTATTGGTTTCACAGAGCGGTATTTGATGTTACCTAAGTTCACGTAAATGTGTGTGTATCTACACACAAAGGCAACCTACCTACTAATACCTAATTATTTATGTATACAACCTGGTCTAGATAGATATTCCGGTGACCCTCAGGCCAGGTCATAAGCTTTGTTAAGTACCTTCTACTAATAGTACTTAAATATAAAAACATCTTTATAAATAACAGTTGGTGTAGAGCTCACGAATAAAACGCCTTTTAATCTTTAAAAAGCAACAGACTTTAACTGGTAAAAGTTTTATTTACAAATTGAAAGTTTCCAGACTGAAAGATGTGTAATATTAGCATAATTTAGGCACGATCACATGAACAACTTTATAATAATAATGTAGGTGTACATTTGTAGATAGTATTAACCGTGACCGACTGTTGAATCCCAAGACCCAAGGGTATACACAGACAGTCGGACATGGTGCTGTCCTTTGGACAAGGGTTCCTAGTTTGACAATAGAACCCTACAGATGTTTTGCAATCGACAAACTTTACTAGCCCTTCATTAAAACTACTTCATCTTGACCTATTGTCATATCGTTTAACTTTTCACGAGAAGATTTAAGTAACTAGGTCAACATTCAAACTTAGATAGTCACCTGAATATCTTATAGACATTGTAAAATGTTCCGCGCATAAATATAGGTCGTATTTATGCGCGAAACATTTTACATTATGATACCGCACGATTTCTTACGAAATTCTCTGTATAAATAAAGCCAAAAACAAAGAGGTTTAACGTCTATTTGAGATTATAAATTGATCGATGCACAAAGGTGAGTCATTATTGGTAGTAAAAGAGATACGAGGCACATAAAAAATATCACGAGGCGGGAACTCGAACACAAACCATGGCGAACGAGGCCGTTAACTTTTTACGCAATGGCAATTTGCGGTCGCTACCACCGATAGGCGATAGCTACGCCATGGTTTATAAAACATGTAAGCTGTTTATAAACCACATGTTATCTCACAATTTAAGGAAATGTCGACATGTTTAAAGAAAGCCTGTATCCCAGATATACTTGACCGAGATTCGGGAATCCTTGCGGTCGGAAGAATGGTAGTGGTTCATAAAAGCTCCACATTTTTGTTATACCTCGAACGAACAGAGATAGGCACTTAGGTATATAAATAGCCTTTTATACAGAATAGATAATTTCAGACTGAGATATTTAAGGCTGTAAATAAAGGGTCCTTATAAAATTTATATCCACTCAGGCCAGCTCACATCGATGCGCTGCTGCCGTCTGAAGTGGCTACTAGAGTATAATGACTGCTGTTGTGGCGATGAGTACGACGACGTCACCAAAGACTTCGCTTGCCAAGCTCGTGCTGTATCCTAAGCCGAAGCCTTTCAAGGTCATGGTATTAGGTCAGTCTGGAGTCGGTAAATCAGGTAAGATCAAAACGAAAACATCATATTACTATCTAATTTAGCCACGTAAGCCTAGTCTAACCTTGTTCATATAATTTTACATTTTGTGAAGAAAAATATTTTTTTACCGCTTTATACCAAGGGTACCTATTTACTTACCAACTTACGTCACTATATATCTATGTGTATATTTATTTACTTGGTATTTGCTAACTTAAATAGTTATAGCAAAAAATAAATTTTGTTATGATAATGATCCTCTCCTTTTTACTAAGTTAATATTTTATTAATAATTAGGCAACTTATCTTCCAGCTCTCGTCGTTAGATTTATAACACGAAGATTCATCGGCGAATACGATCCCAATTTAGAGAAGATCTACGCATTCCAAACTGTCATTGATAACGAGATGGTTTATTTTGAAATATTAGATTCCGCTGGAGAATCACACGTAAGTTTCATATCACACTGACATAACATTGTATATTTTATTGCAAATAAAAGCTTTCTAATGTTCGACGGTAGTCTAAACAGTGTTCGCACGCTCGAAAACTATCTCTTATCACTCAATTCGTAATCTAAACATATTTGAACTGATATTCATTTTGTTACAACATGAAAATAAACACGATGATTCATGAATGTATTTTTATTGCACTCAGGAAAGTGAATACGCGAATCTCGAGAGCAACATACGTTGGGCGGAGGCGTTCATTCTAATGTATTCGGTCACGGACAAGTGCTCGTTCGACGAGTGCCACCGACTCAAATTCCTCATCAACTACAACAAGAGGAGACGCCGACTCGCTTCCTCTATGAGGGTTAGTCACGCACGATACAGCTTCGTAGAAAAATATGTTTGGTTCTCTTATTTTTGTGAGCAAGTTTGTAAGAACCAAAGAACTTACCTATCACTAACTAGTCTAAGATAAAAATTAATTAACAATGGTTTCCACAAACGTTTCCGACTTTTCCAATAAACTTGGGTAAAAACTCATCAATAAAGGTCAGATTATTTTCAATCAAGTATAATGCTACTATTTACGTCCTTCGAATTGCGTGTTGAATAGTCAATCAATTTTACCGATCGTCTTAGATTTTTACGTGACGGAGGTCGGTAATGCACATCAAATCAACAAAATGCCGAATTGCGAAAACCATTTTCCTTACCTACTTTTATACGATTACAGCCACTTTCTGTTTTTGCTAGCTTTAATCTTCTACTTTTTCTCTCAAATCGTTATAGGTTTTTATTTTATTTCGTTCACGCATTTTATTTTGTTTGGAGAAATGACGCAGCAAAGATACAATCGATTTCTCATAAAAATAATGTAATTTTGAAACGCCATTATTTCTGCTACTGATAGCGTCTTTAATAAGGCTTCGTTTTATTTTAAGGAGATGGAGTGATCTTGTTTTAGACCCCTAACATTGGCAAAATAAACATAATCTGTGGACTCTGTAAATACATCGCTACAACGGGTATATACGCAACACGAGAACGAAATAATTGTCCTTTTTACGTTCTTTCTTTACATATATATCCTCAGGCATTTGCCGTTCCTTATCCTTAACAAATACGCACTTATAATGATCCGGTAATACCATCTGGATTTTGATAATCTCTCTAAGTAAGTAGATAATCTCCATCATCATCATTTCCAGCTTTTAGCAACCCTCTTCTGGAACCTTATTTTACAGCATTTTCCTTTATTTTAAGCTTCGTAAATAATATTTGAGTATTTTTCTTTCTTTAAAATAAAACGTTTTATCTTTCCTGCGAACCATTTATTCACGCAGTATGACGTGCGTTGATTAGTCAAAATACAGAGATTTGATACTCTGATATTTGCTTGAAATAGTTTTCCGAGAACCAAAAAACACATATAAAACTTTGAATCATGTTCTTTTCTAAATTGGCTAACTGTGAAACGTAACGCGGTTATAAGTTTTGGGTCGTAGCCAGCGATTGAACTTTTCAAACTTTAACCAAGGGATATTTAGTATTAAATTCGTCCCAGGATTTGAACGCAGTGGTGACCCTGATATATTGAGAGGGCTCTTAATTCTATTGACTTCTGTTTTCAGGATTGTGCTATAGAAACCCCAGTGGTTATGGTCGGCAACAAGGTAGACCAAGTCGGCGACCGAATGGTCACAACCGAGGAGGGCCAGCGACGAAGCAAGGAGATCGGCTGCGTGTGTTTCCACGAGATCTCAGTCAGGGAGAGTATTGACCAGGTCAGTTGAAAGTAGTTCTTAGTACAGTTTTGTACTTCATAGAAAATTTCATTGGAAAAATTGCATTGTGCGTACAATAACCTACGAAAACACTATACGATATTTTTATAGTAAAAAACAACGTGTTGAAGGCAACAATAGATAGAAAAGAAGTAACACTTGTACAAAGATATCTAAAGGAAATGCAGCCGAATGGGTTTCTATTAAACTTTAAATGCAATAAAAGTCATGTAGGAGAGAAGGGTTTTTCAATTTTGTGTAAATTAAAAATTCCATTGCGTTCTCGCCACGCTCTGCAGGGTTTAACTGACGCTACAAATCGATTAATAAAACGATTAAACTCATCCAAAATGTAGTAACCTTCGTCATTCTGTCGCAAATTGGATGAACGGTTTTGGGATTGACATTTCCAAAACTACATACATAAATTATGCAGTTAAAATTTCCCTATAAAACACAGAAAATAAACCTGTACATATACGGTACCTATAAGTACCTGTTTGGAAGATCCATCGGCTAATTCCAATATTTCCGCACTGACACTCAATTTCGTAAATCCTGTAGGTATATGCCAATAAATTGGTACGAAATCACATAAACCCAATATGCGCCAGATTTTGGGTTAATATCGAACCCATTACTCGTATTTTCTTAATCAAAGCAGCTACAAAACATCGTTTATTGCTATAATGGCCTTAATTTCTCGCTCGCTAATCAAAAGGAAACAAACAATAAGTCCGACACGTATTTATTAGATACAAACAGCCCTAAAATGTTACGCCGAAGAAGTTGTGAACATGATTTCATTACTCAGGATGTCATTCATTAAGAATTCTCTTGGAGTTGTAATAAGTAACTAACTCTACGTCTCAATGTAGATGGTATACGCGTAGGTAACTGACAATAACCATTAGAAAAAAGATAACAATGATTTCAATATAACATATTACATATTAGGTGCACGTAAATACGTAGATACATAATAAAGTATTTTCTTGAATGTAGTAACAAAGTCAGTACCTAAATACACTAAATATGCAAATAACGAAAAAACTGAAGAAAAGTTTACAATACCTTAGGCTACATATTTTTAGTTCACTAGATTCAAATATTTCTATGATCCTCACATAATATTATATATTGGAAACACCTTGTGTACTACACAATAGAATCTATTTTTACGGTCAGAATTACGAAGAAAAACTTAAGAGAGAGTTTCAATAAAGCGTGGGACGAAGACACAACGTTAACGTAATAAGATACGTGGTTTATCTGCGAAATAAACTTTTTTGTGGTTCCAAGATACTTAGGATAAATCTGCGCTATAAATTCGTTTTTAAGCAAAAGGCTTTGGAAACCAATGAACCTATGTGTATTGTAACACATTACACAAATTCCAATAAGGTCATTTAATGTACGAAGTTAATTTATATTTAAATTAAGAAATTAAGGTTTTAAATCTCCACTAGGTTCAGTCGAATTTTATTCTTTTTTATTAGCTATGTTGTAAACAAACTATCACATGAAAAATTCGGAAAATTTACTTTATGCGATGCCGGGTCCGTACCTGTCAGAGAAATTCGCTAATAAGGTCAAACATATTACGTGTCTGTTATATGCATCCAATTTCCGGTTTGCTGTATATGGCAATGCAATTTAATGATGACCCAGCCTAGGTTGATGTTGGTGTGCTTCGACACATGTCGCATAGTCGTTCAGTCTACATGACACGTAGGTTTTTAGAATTGATCAAATACGGTAGTGAATATTTTATCGAAGTTAAAATTTAACATTAGAATGAATGTAATCTTTTATTTTAATACAATCTTGTATAAAATTAAGTGACGGTCAACATCCCTATTTTACAAAATCTACTCAATTTATTGCGCACTTTATTATTTATTTCTTCATTATCTTTGATAGCCACATACCTAATACAAAACTACCTATCTCTTGCGATGAACTACCTCAATAATAACTTACAAACAATGTAGAAACACCCCAAACGAGCGCCCCAACTTCCAATATCACCGAATCGGTGGAAATGACGAAGCTTTGTGGTCTATTTACATAAGTGCCTACTTACTTAGTTACTTACTCAACGGCCGTGTACAGTAATTTAACTTTGCAATCCCAACCAATTTGTACGTAAGTCTGTTCCTGACATGTTCGATTTATTGTGGGGAGGGAGTACACCATTATCCGAGATCGGTCCTTCAAGACTTAGCCTTTCAGCCCAATTTTATATTTACATTATAGGGAAATATGCACGGACTTAAAATAAACAACATCTGGAAGACTCATGGTGCCAATTGGCTAAGAATGACAGCAGTTGTAGACGCACGAACCTTGTACAAAGACCATGTTCTAAAACGCCTAAGGTCGCTTCATGTAAAATTATCATTCATCCGAATTTTGAGAAGACCGCCGTTGAGTAAAGACCAAGACCATAGTAAACAAACAAACATCTATGCTTTCAAGGAGTTTGTGGAGATGTTTCATTATAACCGGAAAATACTTATAACATTTTGCGTCTAATGGAAATTTTTGTTGAAGTTTAATCAAGTTTCAGAAGTTCTTAATTAAGTTTAAATATTTAGAAAATTTATCAACCCCCGTCTTATATTCATTAACAAGCACCGATAAATCGGAAGGTTTAAGTAAACCAGTTCATATTTCTTTTAATAAACTGCCTTTGTGGGGATGAAATTGTACTTTGAGGACAGTATTATCGATTTTTAAACTGTGGAAAATTACTTACCATGTCGGTTAACGTACTAGATTTGATTTGCAAGTCAAGCAAGAAATATCAAGGAGTGAACGTAGATGTGCTGTATGTGAGGTGGGTATTGTTTTAAACATACCTATTTATATACAATCTGTAGGTATATAAGCACTATTTGATAAATTGGTGTTTTCAGTGTAAGTAGTGTAGGCACATAAATGACATAAATGGTCGGTATGTCGCGTTAACATGTTCAGACTTTTATTCAAGTTATTTCCGAAGAAGTAAATTGAAAACTCGAATGTCAACAGGTATAAAACGGTCGTGTGAACCGGTAAATGTATATTTATTTTTACTGGAAAATGATTTGCTATTTCCTACGACATGGTTGCTGTAAAGTTTTATTTATATCGTTCGCCTCATTCGTAGGTGTTAGGTAAACGATACAGTTACAGTGGAACATCTAGTTTTTCATCATCACTAGCTTAATCTAAGAGTGAATGTGGGACGATTACTATAATACAATTTATCTTTAATTTATTTTATGAAAGGTCAGAGCTAATTACTTATGAGAAACAACGACAGAAAAGAAATAAGTAGACATAGAACCTACTTTATGAAACGAATAAATATAAGTAAGTAAGCTTATTTTGTATATAGCGTTAATGCGCCTTGAGCCTAAGCATGTTTATGTGACGGATAGTAGGGCTATAAAGTTATCATTAAATATGTATCCATTTCAAGCATCCGTTTAAGTATTTATAGATGTTCCGTGATAAACGAACATGCAACCAGACCCACTTTTATTACTTCCAATCTAAAATTATTTCCAGACCTGAACACTGTTTCTGGATTCTGATCGAATTGTAGTGTCTGGATTGATCTGGCACTTATCCAGTTACAAGTAAACTGATTTTAGAGAGGCTAGGGGTCACATAAATATAAGAAGCACTCCGTTTTGCTTATTTTATTATGTCAGACTTATCGAACTTGAGTAAGTACGTCATGGACTTTATGGAGGTCAATGACATAATTTTGTTGGAATTAGATTGGTGCTAGTGCTCCTACATGCCACGGCCGTATTCTGCTACGATTAATAGTATCTCGCCATACTAAAATTAAATTATCATCGTTATTGATCACGCAATATTAACTCTTGACTTCCAGCGAAATACGCCAACCTAAAAAGGAATGATGAAAATCATTCTTAACAATTTATTTGTTACGCAGGTATGGGGCGTATTCCGTGATGCGCGGCGATTCTGGCGCGTGAGCAGCAAATGGTCGAAGAGAGACGGTGACAGACATCCTGCAGCACTGGGACGGCCTCTGGCACGGGCGTCTTCTGATACCACACCAGATACTAACGCTGCACCACCCTTCTGTAAGTATCTCAATTATGAAGCAGTAGATAATATGTAAGTTGACTAAAGAAACTGTCGTATTACTATTTCTACTTAGTTAACATTAGAATAATAAAAAATCTACTGTGAGTGTTACCTACGCACAGCCGATATCAAAAGCTGACAAAAATATTATCCCTACACAATTGCGTGATGTCCCTAAAAATTCAACTTATCATCCGGATAACAAAATGATGGCCGCGCTGAAAAATACAGCATAACCTTTTCACCGGTAACGAGACCCGTGGGAAATTATAATTCTAGGGAACAATACAACGTCGGGCTTTCGTAAATTGTTGTTAATGCGAAGGAAGAAAGACTGAAAGATCTCATAATTAGGTCGTCTCTTGTTCTAGGTACGTACCTAAGTTGCATTGTTTCAAGTTATCGCTTAACCCCTTGCGATTTCCGAACGTTAGACCCGACAGAAGCCCGAAAATAACATCGTGTACTCTACAACTTCCAGCCATTTCTAGGGACTGATTATCTCGGTAATAATAACGTGGTCAGTTTTGGGATGGCCATTTGTGGGATCATATTATGAGCCTCTAGGGACTGGGTACAGTATTGTACCTACCTATTATCGGACATAATTCACCTGAGGAAAATATCGAGCAATCTGAAATAGGTTGATGTTATTTCAGGTTTGTTTGATTCGTAAATATATGTACGAGCACTTCAATATGTACAAAATTGAAGGGTCGTACCGTGTCGTCGTAAAATGGTAGATATTTATGTAGTCCCGTACCTCGTGATTTGAATTTTAATATTTAAACAACTAGTCCATCAAAATAAATCAGTGCTATCCAAAATTATCCGTGTGCGGAAGTGCTTTGTTGACGCACGTTTTATCTATTTCTCATGCATTTAAAATTTAATTAAACAGACCAATGATGGTATTTAAAGGAACTTTTATAAAGAAAATCATAAATAATGTAATAAGAAGTATTGGTACTTGTAATATGTAGGTAACAACCAGACCAGAGAGCGCGTTTCAATTTAAAGATATTACCACTTATTGCTTCTGAAATAAAAGGAAATAAACATAAAATGTTCTTCCCTACTACGTGGATCGTCGAAAGTATCATTATTTATTCATTTCATTTAACTGTACAAATAAGTATGAGTAGGTACTTACCTACGTAAGTACTTACGACAATCGAAAGTAAAATATATTATAGAACACGTAAAACTCGATTAAGGTGAATAAATCTTTATACACATTCAAATTTACATTTAATGGGTTTTCGAGAGGTGGAAACAAGGGCCTATATCCATCCAATTACTTACTTTACCGATCGATTCAAGACGAATTGACGAATGTTCGACAAATGTTCACCTATGAATGTATTTATTAAGCTAATACTTATCGAGTTTTCTCAATCTGTTTTCCCCAAAATAAACAAATGTTTTAAAAGAAGAATTGTGGTAATTTAATATTGCCGAATAATAATTAATCAAATCACCTAAATTACAGGTCGTCGATGGACAGAAATGGAACTAGATGAAGAAGATGAAGTTTGTGTCGGTCGCAGCGATTCTACATCATCGTCGGGTCGGTCGGAGTGTGGGGACGAGTTTCGAGCCCGAGCCAGCACGGACTCTCGCCTCCCTCCGAGACCAGCAAGACCTAGACATCCCCTACCAACGCGGCCGTTCCCTGCACCAGTTAGAAGAATGAGCGTCGCCATGAGAGGAAACAACGCTAGCACATACTAAACAAGAACTGCTGTTATATGACCAAAGTTTAATATAATATTATGTCAAGTATGAGTGAATGTTGTGTATACCTACACTTAATGTAATGTTAGAAGTCAAACCCCTAACAATGTCAAACTGAAAGACACACTGACCTAGATACAATGTTAAATCAATCATCTCGTTAGTATTAAGTACATACACGTTCATTACCTAGATACCTAATTGTAATAAGTAAGGAAACTAGTCTAATACAGTATTATCTAAAGATGTGCAAGATATTGTATGTATTATTAATTTTAGATTTAATTATTTTATTTTTACTTAACTTTTCACAAACCTTGCTTTGATTGTGGTTACATTTAGGGAAAAGTGTCAAACAATCCAATCCCATGCTACTGTAATGGTTGCAATATCTCTTCTTTTTTCATTCTCTACGCAACTAATCAGGCGTCATCCAACAGGAAACTCTTCCTCTTACCTCACTCCTCCTACAATCTGTCTATCAATTCATCTTTGTACTTCCTATTCACCTTTAAATTTAACTTGCGTCACACAATTTTCATCTCATGACATATTCATACTAAGGGATACACATCCATTCAGCTTCTTTGTAACCGATGCCACTTTCAGACATCCTTATTATTTTTAATAATGGAACATTCTCAATACTACCTACCCTACACATTTCCCCAAAAGGTTTTTTAAGGGATAAGCCTCTAAACGAGCAGTTGAATCATCTGATCGTAAGCAACCGACGTCGGTCATGGACACCTGGAACACCATAGGCGTTACAAGTTCGTTACCGGCCTTTTGGGGATTAGGAATTTGAGGATTGTTGGGGATTCAGGGACTGGGGAGATTGGGAGGATGGGGGAGGGGTAATTGAGCCTCCTCCGGTAACGTCACTCACGCGACAAAACACAACGCAACCGTTGTTTCACGTCGGTTTTCTGTGAGGTGGTTGTATTACTCCAGTCGAGCCGTTCATTTCGGCTCTCCCAAACTTAAAACGTCAAATAAAATCTCTAAATAGAAATGAATTCACGATCAACGCAAAAGCTTAAATTGAAAATCCAAATCTATTACCTTTTACGTCACGTTTTTATTATTATTAAAGGACTCTTAAGCCTCTCCTTTAAATAGGACCAGATTAGATCATCAGATGCGATAAAGTCTCCTTTAATACAACAAGGATGCTTCACGTTTAGCGGAAATAACCTGAAAATTAATAAAAAAAAAACAAATCTAATGTAACAGATACATATTACGTCATGATATTTTCAATTTTGTTTTATGAAATGTAATTCCAACAACTTTACATAATATGAGCAAACAAGTTTGTGTACTCGGTATTATATTAATAAACTTTGTGTAGCGGTCGTATCTATTGCGAACAAAGGAGGTATTTCATAAAAGGGACGCCACGCTGACGTTCCAGTTTTTGTCATGTTCATTTAAATTTAAATTAATTTCGTAAAACCCTTTTACTATTTGATTTTTCTTAAAGTTCTTCTTATTTGCATTTAAGGGTGGTGTACCTTCAAAAGAAAATGGGAGCATTATCTTTGTTGTATAAAACTTCGTTGTTCAGAAAACCTTTTCTGAAAATTTTACTACATACTTTATTTATATAGGATCAATAAAATTAGTCTTGTTATTTCAAAATCATTCAAATTACGCATTGATTATCTACTAAAAACGTTTAGTAAGTTTGTTTGTGGCTGACGAACGAAATCACTCATTTCATCATGTCAAAAATATGAAATAGTAGACTCGGAGTCTTGGCGGTGTAAGTACCAAACTAAAGAAAGCACAAATAAAGGCCCTTAACACCACCACTATTATAAGCACGAAAATCTGCGAAGTCGTGTTATTTTATTGAGTGAAATTAAAAATCATAATAAGCAACAGATAAAAATATTTCAACACTATTCTGATTTTCTTTCTACAATCTGTTGAACTGTAATGCCTATGTCCGCAGTTTTAACGTAATTTATTTCGTACTGATCAATCTTAAACAAAATATAAAAACATAATAATATGTATTAGCAAAATGTTATTGAATTTACAGCATTGACGAAATTAAATTACTATACGAAAAAAAAATTCGCTTTATTTGTGAAAAATAAACTGCCTACTAAATATTATTATACCACTATGGCATGTTGTACATTGGCATCGATAAGATATGTACCTGATTATGTAAATGTCAGATGTTAACTTAAACATGATATGAAAATATTTAACACAGAAATCCTATGTTTTATTTTTCCTTCTAACGTTTTTTATCAGTTTCAGCTGTTCCACGTCAATTCACAAGAAGGTCGCGAATAGAATCCTACATTTGGTATCACTTCAACCATATTTAAGTATCGAACAAAGCTTTGAAACCAAACGAACTTTAAATAATCGTTTCAAGCAAGTAAGCAAATAGATAAAAAAATGTTTCGAACATGGAAATATTTTTAACTTTATCTACTGTTTGATTCGATTTAACTAAAATGTAGGTCAACATTTGTTTGCAGATAAGAACATTCAGAGATACTTATCCAGTTATACGTCTGTAATAATACAAAGCATACTCAACGGATTGCTGAAAATGAACATTTGAATAGAGTAGGTATACTAAGATTTTTTTGTTGTGTCTATTGTGACCCCCGGAAGGAACCGAACCGTGCAGCGGGAGTGATGACCCCTAGATATCCTTTGTTTGTTCAAACAAATGGTCACTGATTTGAGGTCACACATATGGGTCATATACCTAAATTGATAAATAAATGAGCTATTAAATGGCGAGGAATGTTTCCTAAAAGAATATTATGATAATTTAGTTCGTTATCAACATTTTTTTTATTAATATGATCCCTATATGTGAACTTCAAAGGCGTTTTTATGAAACAGCCCATTAACATAACAAAGGAATATAATGTACAGAGGGTATTCAGTAAGTACCTCGTAACCGTACTCGTACGCACGCGGATATAGAGCCGCCGAACCTACGGGAAAATTACTCATCTTAAGGTCAAAATGATACGGCGAGCGACTCGTGCATCCATTACTTTTATCATATTACCTATCAAACACTATTTGATTTGTTTACATTTTCATGAAAGCTGAAGCTCTCCATGACCCCTGGTCTCTTCGAGACAAGATTAGAGCTCGTCGCTCACTGCTGACGCGTCTTGCACGCCATTACGTTACCGAGACGTGTCCGAGCTAGATAAAGCTTAGACACAAAGCTATCGAATACCAAGTACAGTAACTTCACTCGTGTGCACACTGACCGATGTTGCTGCTTGCATTTCCAATGTTGAAATACACCTGTAATTGAAATTTGTCGATACAAGCGTTCGCTGCTCGCTCGTGACTGGAAAGTTGAAACGTAAGAAATACAGACATAAAGTTACATCACATCGGATATTTCTCATCTTCGTCTCACATCACAGTCAAATACGAAATCATCAAATTTTTCTCACGCCTTAATTAAACTCCGTATGCATATTTTTAGTTCTTGGGATTGCTAGCCTATCAAACGGATCAAACAACAATGTAATTCAAACAAATATGTGTAATATATGCATGCATTGATTACTTATAATCATAGGCAATACGAACAACAAATAATTCCAACTAATAATTCAGCGACCTTCGCAGAACAAAATGTATTGTCTTAACAATATAAATCATGTGCATGATATTATCAGATGATTAATTTGATCTATGGCCTGAAGATTACGGACCACTATAGATCAAATTACTGAGACTAGACAATCACAATAACAATTAGATCGACAAGTTATTTATATGCAAATCATGTTCGAACATGAGTGACACTAGACCCAGAGGGCGTAAGGTTATTCGTAATGATTATTAAATTGCCATATTTAGAATATTTCGCATAGAAATAGGCGATAGTAGTTAGGTAACTACCTAAACGGATTAATCAAGGTTTTTATCACTTGACAATGTTGTAGAAATAACAAAAATGTTGTCATTTAAGTATGGTATAAAGTAACATATTTGATTGCTCGGTAAAAACTTTTTACGTCTCTGGTGTGAACTCACTCATCATTACATTGTTTCTAGAGTTAGACGTTCATAGAGACCTTCATTTCCTTCATGAGGGATTATACTTTAGCTTAAATGCGTGAGTGTTCTACACGGACCAAGCCACTACTACGTTAGTTATTAAACAGAAAACAAATTAGGTACTACTACAAGTAAATACATTTCTGTAATAACTTTAAATTCAAACGAGGTCGAAAGACCTTTGGCCCTTTGTAAAATCCTTTCTTTAGCAATGGTCACAGCTGTATAGCATATATTCTAATGTGAATATAATAATGATGTATGAAAGCGACATGGGCTACCTTTAGCCGCGATGTTTGTTTAATGGCGCAGACGTGAGGGCCCTGCCTGCCTGACCGCAGGATATCGGCAGGGCCACTTGCTGTGGATTAGCGAAACCGGGTCGCGGCGGCACGCATCGCATGCGCATCCAGTAAACCAATTACGTTCGCTTTTCAAATACAGCTTAGCTTAGATATTAATCTTCTCTCGGCTTGGCAGTTTCCTGATTAAAGCATAGTCGACAACACCGGTAATCGATAACCTGAACGATTGTGTACCTATGTCACAATTTTGAGATAGCGTAGTTTGACAACGATTTAAGCTACGGCAGCTATAGCTATCCGCAGTCTCTGCTGGTAATTTCAGCATTATCTGATTATCTCCTTCCATTCGTCCTCTTAGACCAGGATATGTCTACTTGCTAATAACTTCTACATAGCTAACTACTACATACTACTACATAGCTAAGTACAGAAAAAATAACAAGTCACAATTTTCATATTACTGCTTTATTAAATAAAGTTATAATAAGGATATCTTCCACTATTTTCCTGGGTGCTTATTTACGTAAGGAAACGGTTAATAATCGAAGTACCTAAGATGTATTTTGGGTAAACAACGTGACGATAGCAAACAAATGACCGTGTTGTATTTTCCTGAAGTAGGTAACTGGATACGTTATTCATGTCCACCAAACTACACAAAAAACGTAAACGTATGAATCAAAGTTTCCGAATCGAAATGAGTCAGACATTCAAAACTGAAAATATGCATTCAGTTGTTTGATTTTTCTTACTTAGTTTAGTTTAAGTTATTTCAGATTACTTATACCGTCAGTGTGTAATCAGAAATGAGACCTATGAGAAATTTATAATTAATCTTAGAAACCGTGTTGAGTTATCCGGTGAAGTTTAATTTTACGATGTTTATATAAGTATTATGAAAGAATTTACTTAGGTAACTGACATACTGCACTTTGTCCCGCGATGGGCCTCTGTGTAGTAACTCACCAGTCCCACGATCCACGACGCAAGCTGGTCTATTTATATCACATTTAGCTTATGTTCTTAACAAAGAAGTAAATATGAATTAAAGTTAATATGAAAATATTTTAATTGTAAGTTGTTCTTTATGACATGCACTTTTGTTTTTATTTTTTTATAAAAACCTTTAAAATATGGTTGCCTGGATTTCTTCATATTCTTTTTTCCAGATAAATTTTTGGTGTCAACCATTTCGGAATGTTATTGAGTTAAGCTAGAAATCTAAAAACGGTAAATATTTGATTTTTTCCTGTCGTAAAGGGTGTAAAGATCATAATTTATAGTATGTGGGATACATTCGATTACAATAAAATGATCGACTGTGACTATGAGTGAATTATAAAACTGTTTTGGGTATATCCAAATTACAAATTGTTGATGCAACTAGAAAGCTAATTAAGAATAAATTGTACATTATTAATTTCGT